AAAAAAAAAAAAAAAAAAAAAAAATCACCAAAGGAGTAGCTATTTTCTTGACAACATTAGCAAAGTGACCAAATAAAATAAAGCCCAAAAGTTAAGGGTTACCTTGAGAGAACTGGTCACTTTTGATATCACATGGATGGACAAAAGATGGAAAAAGTTGACACTCTTGATTCCCTAAAAAGTTGTGTTCAGTGGGAAATAACTAAAACTCACCACAACAGCTATGGCTAAAGGGATTCATTGGGAGACACTTAATTTTTTATGTATACAATGTGAAATGATTAAATCGAGCTCATTAACATCACCATCATTTGATTTTAACCAATATTGAAATAATTTATGGGTGAGCTCTCTAGGAATAGCTAGGCCACAAAACTTAACACGTTTTAATCAACTGTGTGATTTTTTAGGGTAACTGAAGGCACCGATTGGTACCAAAGGATAACTGTCATGGTTATTCCGCGGATGGCCCCTTCTAGTTCACACACAGCGTCCTAGTAACGGTTCCTCTCCTTCTCCACAGTGCTCCTACATACCTAAATGTGGAAAAAACTTTGAAGAATCCATGTCTCTGGTGAACGTTGTCATGGAAAACTTCAAGAAGTACCAACACTTCGCCTGCTACTCGGACCCAGAAGGAAACCAGAAGAGTGTCATCCTAACCAAACTCTACAGTTCCAACGTGCTGTTCCACTCGCTCTTCTGGCCCACCTGTATGATGGCGGGGGGCGTGGCCATCGTTGCCATGGTGAAACTCACTCAGTACCTCTCTCTGCTCTGTGAGAGGATCCAACGGATCAATAGATAAAGCAAAACCGGACGACATTATTTCCTTTAAAGCTCAAATACTGTTTTCTTTCATTCTTCACCAAAGAACCTTAAGTTTGTAATGTGCAGTCTGTTATGAGTTCCTTAATCTATTCTTATACGTAGAGCAATAATGCAAAAGCTGTTCTATATGCAAACATGACGTCTTTGTCATTCAGGAGAAGTCACTGTTTTGTGTGGGTTGGTTGTTTTCATTATCTTCTTTCAGTGCTGGAACTAGTACTTCCGTCTCTCATTCCGCCAAAATAGGGCTCAGTTACCCATTTGCCAAGCTTTCTGGAAGAATGTCGATGATATCAATGTGATAAAGTCTGTATTCTAAGTTGTCAGATCTCTTGAAGACAATATTTTCTATCATTCATTGTTTACTAAAGCTACAGCCAAAAATATTTTTTTCTTTTCTTATTCTGAACTGAGCCCGATAGCAAGTGAAGGGACCAGATTTCCTAATTAAAGGGTGTTAAGCATTTTTCTTATATTTTTACCATATTACTGTAAAAAAAGGAAATAGGAGAAACCCAGCCAGCTAGTTTTCTTTCATTACTTTTTATTCATAACCTTAGATTTTTTTAACTAATTTCCAAAAAATAAACTGTTTTTCATCAGCCAGTTCTCTATTATCTTCCTGTCATTTAAGCACACAATGAACAGAGCCCTTTTCCAGTTAAGACCCTGCTACTGTGTAAAGAAATGATATTTCGGAGGAGTTTCGTTTCCTATGACTGACGGAACGTTGGTGAGTGTTCCCTCATAATCCAGGAAACCCATCACTAAGGATGTGTGTGGAAATCCTTATTTCATGTCACCTGAACTGTTAGATGCTAAAATCAAGATGCTACTTGCTGGTAAAGACTGGTGGACTTGTTTCAATGGGTCGATCTGTTGTGGCAAATTAACATATTGGAATATTCCTCTTTGGGAATTTCGTTTAAGTTAATGGATGCGTAGTCTCTCCTTCTGACAAGTGTTTCCTATTGAGATTTTAAAGCTACATGCACAGAATATTTGTCTTCTCTACATGTTTTATTTTTCTATTTACAATTCTTTTTTGTTGTTGTTATATTTTATACACAAAATAGACCTTTTTTCTAACACATATTTGAACTGAATAACAGATTTAAAGGAAGACTTTGTTCACATTGCTATTTATTGTGTTTGGGGGAAGCGAGGGATTGGTTTTAAATAAAAACATTCCATCTTTTATTTAATATCAATAGCAAAAGAAGACAAACATCTACCTTTCTCATCTATATTTAAGTACCTTTTTGTAATGTAGTATCAAAGTTTTTTAGGTATCGCGAAATTTTACAAATCACTTGTGGAATGAATGGCTAACCTAATCTGATGAAGTGGAAATGATCCTGCAATATTGTAATTCATAGTTCGACTTTTCATAAGCAAATAAATCCCTAGGGTGTCAGGTCTTCTGATGTGTAATTAAAATTTTTTAAATAATCATTAAATCATAAAATGTGAATACTTCTTGTGAACAGCCCCCGGTCGTCCAAAAGCCTATAATTCACTCTCTTTAAAGGTATTTTAAGTATAATCATAAAGAAAGTTTCTTTTTAAAAAATGGCCAAACACATACACACAATGTTGCAAACATTTGAAAAATGTCATGGAAAACTATTTTTACTTTACCTTGAAAATATGATTCTGAAGACAATAGAGAAAGCTTTGGAGCTGAAAATGTGTAATCTTCAGGGGTCTTTGGGCTTCCCTTCAAATGATCCAAGGATGAAACTATTAGATTTTTTTTTAATTTTCCTTTGAATTTTTATTAAGAATTCCCGAATGGTGTTTTAGATAAGAATCTAGAGATTTTCAAAATAATGACCCCAGAAGGGGATGACTACTGGTTTCTTAAATCCCAATCCAGCAAGACCCCTTTCAAGTAATTTAGACATACATATATGTAATTAATGCTCATTAATAAAGGAGAAAAATCTGGGACTAATAATGTTTTAAATGCTTTCACATGTTAACTAATTTAACTTTTATAACAAGCCTATTGGTGGGAGCACTATTATCATCTCATAACTTCCCCAAGGTTGCCCAGATAGATGGTGGAAGGCCAGAGCTGAGAAAACAGCCTGTAGGGATTTTTGTTATGCTGACCATTTCCATGACTTCGGGATCTTTTAGGTAAAACTGAAGTTTCTGAGGTTTGGAAAAGATTCTAGGGGGTAAAGAGAAAAGAGCATCCACCTGGAATCCATGGGTTTTGATGACGATCTGGTCATCACCTGATCTTGGTGACCAGGTGACCTTAAGCTCTTAATTGGTCTCCTGATTCCTTTAATTGTAAAATTAAGAGAAAGGCCAACTGATGAGCAAAGTCCCTTTTAACACGAACATTCCCTCCTAGATGTGTGGAAGGAAAAATGAATACCATTCCCCAATATTCAGAGAACAGGTCTGATTTTCAAATAAGATCTGTACCTATCAATCTATGGATTGAAAAACAGCCTCATTGCTGATATTCCCAATAAGGCATTTGCCTTTTAGGGCCCAAAGCTTTATTCACATCTGCCAGAAACAGAGGTCTGAGTCTCCACATTATCCAACATGAATGACTTCCCCAGATGGTCAGTGCATCCAAGTCACTTTTATCATCCAATTGGCACATCTTATCTAAAACTTTATTGATTTCAGACTCCCTGAATTATAGTTGTATTAAAACCCAGAAATGGTAAGTACACCAATGATTGCTTGCAAATAACTATGATAAAATACATGATCCCATAGAAAGTTACTGGTGAAATGCTAGCTGGCAGTAATGATGGTGTAGGCAATCAGAAAATACAGCTTATATAGATCACGTGACATTTAGAGCTCCAGCTGTTGCCCTTTTCCTACTGCTGTGAATGACAAAAAAAACCAAAATGACTATGTATGACATTTATAAAACAAATATTATTGTCAGCATGTCAAGATATAAACATCTTACCACATTTAAGTGAGTACAATATCTTTTTTTAAAAATGTTTTGTTTTTGTTTTTTTGAGACAGAGTCTCACTCCTTCACTGGGACTAAAGTGCTGTGGCTTCAGCCTAGCTCACAGCAACCTCAAACTCCTGGGCTCAAATGATCCTTCTGCCCCAGCCTCCCAAGTAGCTGGGACTATGGGTGCCTGCCACAACACTCTGCTAACTTTTCCATTTTTAGCAGAGACAAGAGTCTTGCTCTTTCTCAGGCTGGTCTCCAACTCCTGAACTCAAGCCATCCACCTGCTTCAGCCTCCCAGAGTATTAGGATTACAGGTGTGAGCCACCACACCTGGCTTAGTAAAATATTTTGACACCATAATTATTCCATTGGCATTAACAGAGAGGCCTGTAGGAGAGCAAAATAATATAATTAATTGAAGTGGGTTAAAACAGTAATTTCAGAGCAGTGATTTGCTATAAAATAGTTAAAGTTTGCCCCTCCTCCACCAAAATATTGAAATGAACAAAATTCAAGCAAGTAGGGGCGTTCTCATTGTCCTAGTGGGAAGAGGGGATGATTAAAGGTTAGACACATTGTTCCTTTTCTTCCAGACTTCAACGTTTTTACCTCTCCCCTTGTAAAACAATTCCATAAGAACACTTTTACAGTTCCGTAACAACCACTAGGTGGGAATTTGACTCAGGGACAAAGTTTCAGCACTCTTCTGAAAAATCTGTCAGCATGATGTGAACGGCAGGACCGAACAACTTCTGAGTTGAATCCATTCCACTTTTTATGTTTGAA